ACAGAGCAGATTTATACACTCCTAATAAAATATCATATTTAATAGGCAATATTGAATATGTTAGGCTTACAGTCTCAGGATATCAGACCTTAACATGAACAGGTGTTGCTACTTAACACAGGTGGTGGGCATTATTTACCAAGCAGTCTGACCAGTACTGCAACAAACTGCTTTTATATATGGTAGCCTACGGAGTCCAGATTTGAAAATCTGCTTTGTTGAACAATTTAAAGGATGTTTAAAGGTCTGAATGATTTGACACGCTTTAAAAGGCTCAAGACATAAATAGCCTATGCAAATGGGTGGTTCGGAAAAACAATAAACACCACAAAGTAGGCTAGCTGCCCATGCGTCACAACCATAGCCTAACGTTATGTTTCTTTACACTATTGTATGTCCTAGTGCCTAACTTTTACTTAAATACAGGTCTTCATGTTATTTTCTCAGACACGGTTTCAAAATAGCCTACTGAAGCTGATATCCGAAACTGCGATTTGTTCACCTGGCACCTTATCGAGAAGTAGATCGAGATTAAATTTAAAGCGTGTATAAACATGTATTATTGCCAATGTCCTTAAGTACACTCTGTTTTTACGGGAATTTATGAGAACTAATCCAAAAGAAACGAAAGCGATTAGAGATTTAGGCACCATGTTGTTATGTCAATAAAATATCCGCAACAAGTTTCGCTCGAGTCGACGCCAGTTTCAGTCCTCGATGCGCGAAGACAAAATACCAACCATTTAAACGTCCGAGGGTCTATGAAAACAACCAGTGGGCTAACATTTACGTCTGATACACAAGTAACGTTAGGGTACTTTAAAGTGTAAACATATTAACCTTTTATAAAAAATCCAGTAAAAACACAAAGGGTGGCAGCGGTGTGCGATCATTGCTTTACCTACCTTTACATGGTATGGGCTGTGTAATTGAGATTTTCAGAGTTCCAGAGAGGGATTCGCCGGGACTATACGCCGTTTTGTTGTTATTAAGAGTTATTTCGAATTCCTGAAGCTTTCCCATTCTGTTATCTATCCACCGTGAACAGGTGGGTGAGCGATTCACAATGAATAAAGGAAATGCTTTACCTGTTGCCGTCGACGTCACGCACCTGATGTAATTACGTCACTCGGAGTCATGCGGTTCTCACCAAAAACACACATAAAGCCATACAAAAAATAAAAACAAACAAACAAAAAACACTGAGCGTTTATCCTGCAATGGCACTGAATGTTTCTGTGGAGATTTCTAGAACACTGGACAAAATTGTTTGGAATTCTAAAACTCAATAATTATGATCGGGCGATGGGGGATTTAAGGACTTTTCCACTTTGAAACTTAAGCCTAGCCCTAAAGGTCCTTTATGCTCTCCTCCTATTTTTGACTAAAATAATCTATTTGTTGACCAATGTTTTTCCAATAACATGTGGGTGGAAAAATCAGTAAATGATCAACAGATCTCAGATTTCTTTACATGCTCGATATGTGTACGTTTTTGGAATTACACGGTCAGTGATAGAATGGGAAGATTTTCAAAAACTTTTTTCAAAACCTGTTCCATTTTACTTGAAATAATTTATCTTCAAACTTCTGTATATAAGCAAAAAAAAAAAATTTTTTTACAGCCACTCATGAGTAGGCTATACATTTTCGAAGAAAATTCGGTAACACCTTATTTTACAGTGTCTTGGCTATGTTATCATAGTAATAACAGTAAATTATGCATAATTACATGCAACTAACCCTCAACTAAATTCTAATCCTATACCCTAACCCTATGTTGTTAATTAATATTCATTAGCCTACTTAATTACACTGTAACAATGACACCTTAAAATAAAGTGTAACCGGAAATTCCTTCCCTTTTTTATTTTCAAGAAATATCTTTATTATATATCTTGCATCAGTCATCAACACTGAGACAAACAGCTTCACTGTCTAAAATATTTGATTTTATATTTATTTAGTTTCAGTCACATGCTCTACAAGTCAACATATTAGGCTACTTAATCCATTTAATTAATATTGCCATTATAAAGATACAGCTGAATGAGAGTTTCAGAGCTGTTTTGAAGGGTTGCTAGCCTTGCACAATGCATAGTAGTTATTTATTTTCATCTCTTAAAACATATTTAATGCATTTCAGTTCAGTGCAGTTCAGTTCAGTGTTGTTAGCAGAAAAGTCCATGCAGTGATAAATGATTTGTCCATACACATCATTATTTGTTTTAAATTCATGTGCTATCATAATCTTTAATCAAAATAATTTCCTCTCCTCCTGCAGCAACTTCTCTTCTCTGTTTACTGGCGCAAGGGCGGGGCAACCTGCTCGCATCACAGTAATAGAAATCACAACCATCCAATCAATTCAGATGGACAAAAGCCACCCAACACATTTCACTTGGATTTATGTTATAATATGAAAATATGGTCACAAATCTAATGCCAACTTTAAAATTCACTAGGAGACAGTAAAAATTACATTTCTGTTTACACTTAATGTTTCTGATTCAATTTTGTTTTCAGCATTGCGTTTAACCCCTATTAGCCTAAGAGAACTCCTGAATGCTTTAATAAAATTACGTGATCCAAAAAAGTATATTAGGGGGTCCAAGCAGCAGTTGATTCCTGCCAATATATAGCATGCATAATATGCTGTTTCCAACTGCAACAGAACTCTACATCTCTTAGGGTGATACTTTTTCATGACTACTCCAAGGGTCCGAACAACATTGAGAGGAAGAAAGCAAAGGCCAAATATGACCAGACATAGCCCTATCATCCTCAAGGATTTAGTCTTGAACGATTGGCCCTGAACAGAATTTATGTTGATGCGGGATACTGAGCTCGCAAGGCGACTGTAGCAAAACACTGATATAGTTAAGGGTAAAATACACCAAAAGAAAAAAGTCACAAAGTTAATAACAAAGTAAGCATCTGTCAATGTTGTCTGATGAATAGTAAGACACTGCCCGTGATTTTCCTCAGTGGTTACAGGAAGCAACCATCCATAGGCAATGCCAATTATTATCAGAAAACACCAAATCCCAGCACACAGCTTCTTCACGAAAGTCTTCCTTTTCATCAACGAGGAGCGGTTGAAGTGAATCACGGTCATATAGCGATGAATGCTAATGAGTGTGAGGAAGATCACACTGCCATTGAAGTGGATGCTGAGCACGGCAATCTTCAGCTGGCAGGCGAAACTCCCAAAAATCCAGTTGCTATCCATGGCGAAGTACGCTGCCATCAGTGGGGTAAGTGGAGTAATGATGGTGTCAGATAGAGCAAGATTGAACTGCAGAACGGCTCCAGAGTTCCATTTATGAATGCGACAGGTGAAAACCCAAAGGCTGAATCCGTTGAGCAGGAGGCCCAGCAGATAGACGAGACAGAGGATCACAGCCAGAGACATGTGCTGAGCCTCAGGAGAACATGTGTCTTTGAGGCTCGCATTACTGCTGTTCACTAAACTGTCTGAGGTGTTCATCTTAGAAGAATTTCACTGTGTAGGAAAAAATCCCTGTTATTTTGATCAAATTGTGTGTAGATATATTGCAAATAAATAAACTTGGAGAATTTCACACAAATGCCCTGGCCATGCAAATATATTGCTATAGTGAATGCTAATAAATGTCATCACCAAAGCACATTAAAAAAAAATTATGTGTTAAAAAACACACAACACTCTCTAAATGTTATATTTTGCTGTCATGTAATGTTGAATGATTATATAAATGTGATGCGCATTTAATAAATATAGGTACTGCTCACATTTTATAAGGCTACATATATGTGAGCACCCTAACTAATATATATATATATATATATATATATATTCTCTGAAATGAACATCAAGCTACACAAAGAACTTACCAGATCATGCAACACTCCCCTTAAAACTCATTTGGAATACGTAAATTGAACAGAGAGTTCACTAAATGAAAGCAAATGACATATAGGTATCAGTGTGTATGTGACAAAAAAAAGGAACCAATACAGGATTTACTTTTATTAGTCAGGAGTCATTAACCCCAAACTCCACCCTTGTCATTCTAAGTTAAAAATGAACACTTTAAATATCTAACATGTCAATGGAGAAAAAAATAAACCGATAATCAAAATCGTATAAGCTTTACTTAATCATTGGCCATCATTCACTTCATAAAACTAAGCAAAAATATTCAATTTGCATGAATTTACATCAAATCGTTGTAGGAGTTCCACGCAGGTGACTTGACTCAATTAGCTTTACTTGTAATGTTTACTTCCACGCAGATCTTTAGTAGCAGGCGAAAGATTCATGCAATGAATGAAGAGAAACTCGAGCTGTGACTGTCTGTCCAACTGCTGCCTTTACATTTACCGCCCCTTCCTCCATTTCCTTACCACTTACTTTTCATACCCTCTGCGTCATCCTTTGTCTGTCTCCTGATTGGTCAACTTCATTTCATTCATGTGATAGTAATTAAAAGGTGTCGTCTCAAAATCGTCACTTTCCGTAGCATGGTTTCAGATTACAGACGTGAGTAACTCCAACATCTTCGCCTGTAGATTCCAAAACTATTTGATAATTAATTGGACCCATCTGCTTGATTACTCGATAAGGTCCTTTCCACTTGGGTGCTAATTTGGCACTGAAACTTTGATGGGCGCTGGATTGTGGAAAGTTCCTCAGCGAGACGCGATCTTGTTCTTTGAACAAGACTTCTCATCTGTTTTTATTATAGTTTCGTAGTTGGAGTTTTTTTTTCGCTCGTATGCAATTCTCTATAGCTCTTTTTCTTCAGTTTACAACATCATAAGATGGATCAGATGGTGAGAGGTGGTTTCCCTGAGGCTGAAGCAGTTTGTCCATTGGACCTTGGAGCTTTCGGCCCAATTGTAATTCTGCAGGTGACATTCCAATACTCTCTTGGATGGTGGAGTTAACAGCAAAATGGAGCTCAGGTATGTACTGGTCCCATTTTTTGTGGTTTTCCTCCAGGTCAGAGGCAATCATAAATTTTTTAAGGTGCGGTTCACTCTCTCTTGTGGATGGTACGCTGTCGTTAATTTTTGTGCAATGTTCCATTTTGAACACAATTCCCTGAAAAGTGATGAGACGAATTGGGCTCCTCGATCGGATAAGATGAAGTCTGGCACACCCCAACCGGTAAGAATTTCCTTGCGGAGAATCAGAGCAATGGTTTGTGCATTTGCTTTACGCATTGGGAACATATCAAGCCACCGAGAGAAATAATCTACACAGACTAGAAGGTATTCGTGACGATGTGGGCTGCTGCTGGGCAATGGTCCCATAATGTCCACTCCTAACATTTCCATAAAACGTGTGGTGGTGATAGTTTGTAACTTGCCTGCAGGTTTGACACTTCTTACAACATTTAACGTAATTCTTGACATCTGTCCACATCTTAGGCCAGAAGACAACATCCTGTAGACGTTTGTAGGTTTTAAAGATACCTCCATGTCCACTCAGAGGATGTGAATTGTAATGCTGAAGAATTTCAAGAATAAGGCATTTAGGTAAGTACATTCTGTACTGAACTTGTCCTTTGGCCAGTTGAGTCTTGATGTACAACTTGTCTTCCACAATCTCAAATTGTTCAGGGGTATCTTGCTTGTTATCTGCTATTCCTTTGAAAATCTTTTGAATTTCAGGATCCTTATGTTGTTCTTCCCATAGGTCCATAGCAGTAATTGGAAAGTCAACTTCGTTCTTCGGGCTGGTGAACAAGTTGCATGCAGGTAAGTTGGACATTCTGGAAAGGGCATCTGGCGCTGCATTTAGTTTTCCTTTTCTGCATTCAATGACAAAGTCAAACTTTTGTAAACGCAGGGCCCATCGAATGAGACGACCTGTAGTTTTAGTAGAGGACATTACCCACTCAAGGGCAGAGTGTTGCCACTTCTCTAAAGCCCAGATGACTGCCAGACACTCTTTCTCTGTGACTGAGTAGTTTGCCTCAACTTTGCTTGGATCTGCCATAATACCTTGAGTGTTCACAACATGGTCAAGGAATGAAATTTCTTGGAGGCAGAATTTACTTTTTTTAAGTTGATGGTCAATCCCGCTTCTTGTAGCCTATGGAAGACAGTCTGAAGGTCTTGTAGATGCTGAGTTAGGTCTGATGAATAGATGATTATATAATCTATGTAGACAAAACACAGTGCTCCTCGCAATTTTTCCAATACCGTCTCCATTAACCTTTGGAAGGTCGTGGGGGCGTTCCTAAGCCCAAAAGGCATAACGTTAAATTGAAAAAATCCCGAAGGAGTGATGAAAGCAGTTTTTTGATTACTTGAGGGGTCCATGGCCACTTGCCAATAACCACTGTTGAGGCCTACTGTGAAAAAAAATATCTGCCCCTGAAAGTGATTTGAGAATCTCTGAAAGCTCTGAAAGTTCTCAATCTCAATGTTCGGCAATGGGTAAGCATCCGTTTCGGTTATGGCATTTAACTTCCTGTAATCCACACAGAATCTCATGCTGCCATCTTTCTTGGGGACAAGAACGACTGGAGAAGCCCAACCCTAGTGTGATGGTTCCACAACTCCTGTCTTGCAGTAAGCATATCTTCCAGTTGTTCTTTTACCAGAGCTTGCTTGACAGGAGACATGCGGTAAGGTTTCAGTTTAATGGGTGCTTGCTGACTTGTGTAGATGTTGCAGAACATCAGTACGACCAAGTTGAAGTGTGCATACTTGAGTGTTCATCTCCGGTGCTGTGTTCCAGTCCAAGTTTATGTGGACAGACCCTCGTTCTACTTCTACTTCATATGTACACTTCAGGCAGCTCCATATACCACAATGCAACACGATTGTGACGTCACAACAGATCTCGTCTAATCACCACCACAAACAACTCTATGATGTATTAATTATATATTTTTTTATTTTAAACAATTCCAAACACACCTATATACGTTTGGATGCTGCATTTAACAAATTATTAAAGGGAAAACAAAAATTAAATAATAAATCAACTCCATAGCTGATTCCAAGTGATTAAGGGCTTAGGACAATTCAGCCCATTGCAGTTTCCGCCAGTAGTGGGCACTCGTGCAACATTAGCAATGATGTACATCTGAGTGAACGAGATGGAGGGAAGTTAGCGAGTGAAGGGCATGACGATTTTGGACTGGAACGAAGCCCAGGAGTTCCTGCAATTGACGTTTACCATCAGGAGGTACAGTAAGTGGGCATCATTCACAGCATTTTCAATCAGAGTTAAGTCTGTGTTCTCAAGAGATGGTAACAAGAGTGTGGGTTGAGGAGGTATAGCACTTAGTAATGTAGCAAATTAGCTCTATGAAATATTAATAATCAATCATAACTTGTTATAATTGAGAATATTTGGATCAGTTAATCGGGTTAACTTGATGTAGCTACATTAACATTACAACCAATTACTCGGTTCATCCCATGAACACTCAATATTGGTTACTAATTGATTTATATAAATCTACATTTCCGGGGCATGGGACATTTCTTTCTTACTGTACATTACTATTCAGAGCCTGTAGCCAGAAATCTATGATTAGGGACTCCATATATGAGCTTGAGACACGGACAACTTTACGTGTGATATGAACTTTATATGAAGACTTTATTACCTCAACTAAACATTTAAACTACTCTAACATACACATACATACATGCATACAGTTTACCAAGGGAAAGAGAGCTGAAGCAGAATACAGGAAAGCAAGAAGTTATAGCATTGTTTGATGTTCAGCAGATCAACAGCCTGAGCAAACCATCAGTTTAGTTCTAACACACCCTTCTTAAAAAGGGGTAAGGATACTTAATGTATCAAATAATGAGTCTAAGTTTGATACTTGCATGTCTCGCCCATTCGAGTTAAACTGTCCTGATGCAATTTGTTGAGGCTCCAGTTGATCTTTGCTGATGTGATCTTGATGAGAGAGAACCAGTGGGAGTCAGAGAATCTTTGGGGAATGGAAAGACAAGGCCGCAGCCTGGAGCAAGCTTGGGGGTCCTTGGGGGACTTCTAGTTCAGCATCATCTTCACATTAGGACTTCTCGGGAAGGACCAAGAGAGTAAGAGAGGGGCGTAAGAGAGGGGGCTGATCTTGTGATCAGTGATTTTTAAAGCGTGAAGATGTCACACCCTCTGGAGGTGTGTGTGCCAATAAGAAGTATTCCCTTTGGAGGGAGTATTTTTTTACGACCCATTGTGTTCTAGCAGGGCATTTGAATGTGTAATTTCATTGGGTGTTTAAGAAAAGAATCTTCAAGATTCTTATAATACTAATGCGTCATAAAGTTAGCAAAATGTAATGTAAATTAATAAATGGGGGACGAAGATTGGAGTTTATAGAGACCAAACATGCCACACATATGATTTTGGTTAACCATAGTATGCAAAGTCTGAAACATTAACCCATTAGAGTTTACAAGAAAACCTAGGCCAATCAGCATAAAGGAAAATCATGAGATGGGAAAATTAGATACATGTTTATGCATTTCTCAAGTGGATATATATAGAATATATAGGATTAACAGGGTTAATTTCTCCTTCTCAGCAAGAATTAAGAGTCACAACTCTCTGGAAATTCCTTTGTGGTCGTAAAACTTGTTATCAGTCTTAAAGGATTGGTTCACTTTAAAAAAATTTTTTGCTGATAATTTACTCACCCCCAAGTCATCCAAGATGCCCATGTCTTTCTTTCTTCAGTCGAAAAGAAATTAAGGTTTTTGAAGAAAATTTTGACCAGTTATTATTACCATTATTACCAGTTGATAATACCTAGAAAATCAAAATCAACTGCTTTTTACATTTAGATTACCTTTGCTGTCATCTCACACTCACTTAAAATTAATCTTTAAAAACAAAACTATAACCTTTATCCATTTTTCATGCTGCAAATTATAACTTGGTGATGCCTAATTTCACTTGTTGCATGGCAGTAGATCCTTTTCCTATTTAGCACCTAAACTTTGAAACAGTCTTCCTAGCATTGTTCGAGAAGCTAAAAACACATCTCTTTAACTTGGCATACACATAGAACATTATCAAGTTCTATTATTCAAATCAGTTAAATGACTGTTAGACTGCATAAACTAGGTCAGCCGGAACCGGGAACACTTCCTAAAGCACCCGATGTACTCGCTGCATCATAAGAAGAATGGCATCTACACTAATGTTAGTCTCCCTGTTTAGCCGGATCCTGGCCGTATCCAGAACAGATGGTGGACCTGTGCCTAGACACGACCACAACGCATCCCTGAAGTGTCAGCAGAGATTGTGTCAACTAGACTCTCCCCTGTGAAGGTCTCATTGACCAGTGGCACTGATCCTCAACAAACCCGTCTCCATATCAGCATGATGACTCCAATCTTCAATCAGATGGAACTGGATAAATATTCTGAATGTTCTGATCCAATCTGACTTCTGGCCTGTAATGCTGCCTGAATCCCCCCCCAACTGAGCTTGGTTTCTCCCAAGGTTTTTTTTTCTCCATTCTGTCACCTGAAGGAGTTTTGGTTCCTTGCCACTGTCGCCTTTGGCTTTTGGCTTGCTTAGTTGGGGACACTTATTATTCAACACTCTTATTGATCTGCCTGCATTGACACCATTATATGAGAACTGAACTGAGCTGGATGATGACATCACTGTTTTCTCCAGAGTGGCTGTACAGATTAATTAAATTAATAACGTTTTTGCAACTGAAATGAACCATCACTGAACATACTTAAGCAGAACTCTGACACTATTTTCTTCTAGATCTGCTGTACAGCCGAAACAAACGTTGCATTATTTTCCTGTTATCACTGTAAAGCTGTTTTGAAACAATCTGTATTGTAAAAAGCGCTATATAAATAAAGGTGACTTAATATCTGTTTTTGTAATTTATTCACTAAACCTTCACATTGTAGGACTTTTTTTGTAACATCAAGATAACATTTTGGTATCAGCTGAACAGCTCAGTTCAGTTCTCATATAATGGTGTCAATATATAGGCTATATATACATAGCCCATACCAACATGTTATCTTGATCAAAAATAGTCTTACAATGTCATATACATTTGCAATGATTCAAGAACACATTATCAAATTGTGTTACCTTTGAGTCCATCAGAGAGAAGCCTGGATATCTTGATGGCTACAGTAATAGTTTAGACTTCTGCAAGGCATTTTATGTGCCAAGTGAAGACTTCCTGTAAAAATGTGATCATAGTGACCAAAGTGTTTTGACACTATCTTTAATTTTGGTGTCACAGCTTGCAAGGTAGGTGTATGCAAACTTGACTTTTCAACTGCAAAAGCATAACTTGTTAAGAGCATGCAGTGGGGTTTCATCTCGTCACTTTGTATTTGGCTGCAGTAAAAGTGAGAGACAGATGATATGTAATATATAATTAGATCATCTGACACAGTGTAAGCTTGTATGAATCGCACAACGAAGATGAATAAAGTAAACCGTCTTTAATGATAAAAGCTCAGGAGATAAAAGAGATAACACCAAACTAACACAACATAGTACTAACGAGCAGAGACATACAGGAGAACACAGGGTTTAAATACATGGAACAAAAAAGGGAACTAATGAGCTAAAGATTCGGGACCGGGTGGAATCAGCAGAGAAACAGGAGAGTCAGGGGGAATTACCACCTCAAACGATCAAAAAAAAAAAAAAATGTTTGGGCAAATGTTTGTAATTCTTCGTAGATTTCTTCTTGATTTCCCCTTGATTGTCTACCCCAAGTGTTCCTTGTTTCCTTGTTAAGCTTGTTACTCTCTGTGTATATATATATAAAATATATTTCCGTCATGACAACTCTCAGAGTGTTTGGCATGGTAATGGATATGACAATTTTTATATATTTGGTCTTGGTGGAAAAGATCTGTTACGCTGCTGCAGCTGCAGAGCAAGTACGGGACTTGATACTGCCAATAGATACACAACACGCTGCTGAGAGCAAGACATGCTGCTGCTGTACAATATAGCATACATGAATTACCCGTAGCAGATCTATACAGGTGGAGCTGGGGAAAGCGCACTGCAACTGCTACAGCAAATGCTGACCTATGTATTTGAAGGTTGAGTAGCGAGCTCATTGGCTACTGATACAGCAGGAACCAATCAGCTGTGCCCTAGAGAATGATGAGATTGCAAACAGATTGAGTTAAGGACCTATCAGCCTGTGCTATCTAGAGTTTGATGGCAGAACTTTGTGTATATATATCTCAGGTTTTCGCATGTTCATTGTTTGTTTGTTTTGTTAATAAATGTACACCTTGCGCAGAAATCCTTCTCTCCCTGGTTTTCTGTGCTCACAGCGCATTACAGATAACAGCATATGAAGACATTGAGCGGAACCCTGTCAGACTCCGAGTCCACGTAACATGCCTTGAGCAGCTGTAACATTTGATGAATAATGAAATGAGGCAGCATTGGTGCTGTGAGGCAAGTATGATGTTGCCTGAACTGACAGAACAGGGACGTGCAACTGCACCAGCAGGAACTGATTCTGCCCATCTGAGACTTGTAAACTACACTCAGTAACAGCAACTGCTTAAAAAAATATATATTTTCAAACGTCTAAAACCACATTGAAAGTATCTTTCTTTCTTTTTTGACTTTTAAATCTGAAGTTGTATTTTTATTTTTTAATGAATTAAATAAAAAATAAAACGAGCTTCTGTTAAAGATTAAATGCTAACTGGTCTTCTGTTGAAGAGCCATTGCTTTGACAGTAAAACAGTAAAATAAAGAGGAATAGTTTTAATCTCTGTGGGTGCTTGGTGTCTTCTCGGTTTCAAATGTGGGCAGACCTTCCTTTTATATAATTTCTCAATTCCTTTTTACCCAGTACTTTTAAAAGTAAACATTGCAGTGGTTAAAGGGAATATTTCAATTCACATTGATGCGGTTATGTTCTTTCCAATGGGGAAACACCATACACATATTCCCACCAGCTGATGAGAAGGAAAATCAGATTGCATGCCATCATGATATTTTTTGACATGATACACAATTGACAATGGTATGAATGAATCAGAAGCCCCCTGACAGCATGAGGGGGATTGAAGAGATTACAGCGGTACATCGGCCAGTATAAACCGAAACATAAACTGGACAATCACAAGACAGAAGGCCATTCACTGAGCCGAGCTCTGATGGCAAGACACTAGGTGGAGACAGCAGCACAGAACACTGGATAAAACCAGGTTCCTGGTTCATTTTGTTGACAAAAAAAAAAGGTGTACTGTTTTTAGGAATAAAACGTTACATGAATCAGGAGACTGCTTTAGAATATAGATAGGAATAAAACATTTGGTATATGTAAGTGCTACTAAAAAGGAGACGTTTCTGCCTGAGGAAAAAACTCATATTGAGAAAACAGCCTTTAAAGATAAGATATAAGACTGTATAAACCTCCACGACATTTCCAGGTCTTGAAATTAAATTTTTCCATATTATCTGGTTTTCTGGGACCACGGGACAGTGTTTGCCCAATTTAATAGCCATTCTATTTTAATATTACTGTAATAGCCATGATAAAAGTGACAATGGAAAATGTACCTGACCTCAGAAAATAAATTAAAGCAAACAAGAACATTCAAACTGTGAGATGCATTGTAGAAGATTGTATACAGTATATACGTCATTATATACAAGTCATTGAGGGTTCTTTTATTCACTTGATTAGGCACTTATTTAGCTGTGAGTGCGAGACAGCAGTGGGTCTCCAAAGAGAAAGCATCAAATATAAAAAAAATCTCAAATTGTAAATTTGTCTAATCAATTATTTTATTTACACAAGGGTTTGTCACACTGACTCCATCCAAAGCAAATGATATTCAACCATGAGATGCTTTACATAAGACAAGACTAAATTTTCTTAAAAGAAGCGTAGAAATCGAAACACAAAATTGAAAATTGGAAAATGCTTTAAAATGACCTTTATAAAAGCGGGAAACACGAAAAACAACTAAACTAAGTCTTATAACCAGCACAGTTCCATTTTACACATGTTTAGGTCAGTCTTTTGCCATTAGATGAGTCATCTACCTCCATTGCTGCTGTTGCTGCTCTCTAGTGGCTGGAGCGTCCAGTCTCTGTCAGACAGGGGTCGTAGGGGTGGGAGGCACAGTAACAGGGTGAAGGCCTAAATCCAGAGAGGGGGCTTCCTCTGGTTCAGGGGGGCTTTTCTTAGAAGCCTCAAGCTTCTCCTTCAACAGGGTGTACAGTTCTTTCACTGACTCACTGCTCTGTAATAACATGAATTAAGATTCAGTTACTATAAGATTTCTGCACAAGAGAATCAGTACAAAGAGGAACAGAGAGAGCTTTTATCATTTGTGAACCAGTGTTGTTATTGTTAACTAGAACTAAAAACTATGAAAAATAATTCAAAAGTTATTGAAATAAAGCTGAAATAAAATCAAATATAAATATTAGATGAACTTTATTTAAACTTAAATAAAAAACTTGAAGATTAGAAAGCTTATCTTGGCAGCTAATTGAAATAAATTAAAGCCGAAGTACTAAAATTAAAATGATAAAATAAAATAATTTTAAAGCTAAATAGAAATATAAAAATAAATAAACAAAAAAAATACAAAAAGCACATAACAACATTACTAAAATAAAATAAAATGAAAATGAAAACTGAAAATATAAAAACAAAAGCTAATTCAAGATATTAATTAATACTATAATATTATATAAATAATACAAAAATCATACTGTGAACAGAAGTGTATGAGGTGCAACCTAGTGACCTTTAAACTTTAAAACAAACTTGGCCTCATTTACTTTCTAATGCATGTCCCTAGTCTTATGAATGATTCATCAGTGCATGTTGAAAAAGAAAAAAAGACAAAAAGTTTTTGTAATCTTTAATCAAAATGAAATTACTTTCCTTTTCTGCTGATGTGACTAAATCTAGGCAGAGCAGAAAACTATAGGGAAATGTTAACCAACAGCCCATTAGCTATTTATTGATTTAGCAAACTCACATTCAGTCTGTTTCCTTTAAAATACCTGTTTTGGTGGTTCAAGTGTCTTCATTATAGTTTCCATGTAGGACGCCAGCACCTTCTGATGGAGATGGTTCAGCAAGCGAAGACTGTGTCTGTGAACGTTCTCCTTACTGCAAATGAGAGTGATAAGCTCAAATATACTAGAACTGTTGTGAACTGAGCCACAGTATTAACATGATTTTTTTCAACTAATGAATATTTTACATTTAAACCCTGAAGAAGTTGCACTATATAATGTGATTAAAAAAGATAATAGACCTAGAGAAAGATGTGAGGAGGAAGTTGTCAAAGACAGCAGTGCAGAACTCCTCTGATCCAAATTCATCAGAGAGCAGAGTTAGATGACCAGTGAGAAGATGGAGGAAGATGTCTCCAAACGCCATGTCGTTATAGGTATCCACTGCAAGTAAACACACACACACACACACACACACACACACACACACACACACACACACACACACACACACACACACACACAAAGTGATCAGTCTTTGTGCAGCATTGCCATGATTATCCATTAATCCAATGTATCTGACAGGAGTCTCACCCAGTCCAGGCAGAAGCCGTTGTAAAGCATTTTTATTCCTCTGCTTAGCGATATGAAGTGCATAATAAAGACCGATCTCACATGCCACCCTGTTTTCCTGTATATACCTAGACAAAGCAAAAAGACCATCCATTTTAGAAAGAATTAAGCACTTGCTGAATATGCTGGGTTGAGGATTGGCATGAGATGGTGCAGATACCTGGAGAAGGTTTCAGGCAGGGTGGTGGGGTACGTGAGAGAGGTCTTCTCCTCACTTGGTAGTTTCTGCTCCACAGTGAAAGTGTAGTCATCCACCACTATTGACATCATGGCAGGCAGAAAGCGTGTTACCACCTCCAAATCCTGATGGTGAACAAGACCAGCCTTGTTTAATTGTGCAAACCCATTTGTAGTCCGATCTTCAACCAGATGGAACTGGATAAATATTCTGAATGTTCTGATCCAATCTGGCTTCTGGCCTGAATCATAATCATACACTGTTCGTTCGTTGGCCAGAGGAGAACAGGCCCCCCGACTGAGCCTGGTTTCTCTCAAGGTTTTTTTCTCCATTCTGTCACCTGAAGGAGTTTTGGTTCCTTGCCACTGTCGCCTTTGGCTTTTGGCTTGCTTATTTGGGGACACTTATTATTCAACAATCTTATTGATCTGCCTGCATTGACACCAAGAACTGAACTGAGCTGGACGATGACATCACTGTTTTCTCCAGAGTGGCTGTACAGATAAATTAACTAAATTAATAACTTTTTTGCAACAGAAATGAACCATCACTGAACTTACTTAGGCAGAACTCTGACACTATTTTCTTCTAGATCTGCTGTACAGCCGAAACAAACGTTGTTGCATTATTTTCCTGTTATCACTGTAAAGCTGCTTTGAAACAATCTGTATTGTAAAAAGCGCTATATAAATAAAGGTGACTTGACTTGATCATACCATTCGGGGCTCTTTGAAAACCTGGCTGTCAATCATGTCCCAGGCCCCCTGGCCAAGAGAAAGCATCCGCAGCAGGAGGAGAAGTTCAGGGCTGTCCTGACATAAACACAGATTTATTGGTTATGTGCTTTTCTAAATTTTGTTCTTTATATATATATATATATATATAAATTTATTTTTATTTCAGTTTTGTCAACTTTAACTTATTTTAGTTAGTTGGCATTTCCAAAATTAATTTAAGTTTTTCAAGTTCTTCATTTAAGTTTTTCATTTGATATGTACATTTTATTTTATTCCAAATACCAAAAAAGGATTTTTAATAGGTTTAGTTAAAGGTAGGGTAGGCAATTTCAGGGAGGCTAGCAATAGCAAGCTAGCTTTGAATGCATGAGATCCCACCCTCCCCAGATCGTCTCTAAACCCATGCCTCCTTCAAAACATATGAACGTACACAGCAGAGTCTGCAAAGCGTCACGAGAGACGGCGTTAAATTACCAATTTAAAGAGCTCTTAATTGTCTCTGCATATCCTCATGAAATGTGCAGAGGTATGGGAATACGAAATGTTGAGAGGCAGGTAGGACCAAAATTTGGGCCAAATGCAATGATTGGGAAAAAAAAATTGGTCCTGAGAATTACACAGAAGACATACAGTATGTACAGTTTTTAATATTTAGACCACTTCTATTATTGCTATCAGGATGTGAAGAGAGTTTCAACCAGTACAACAAAAAGTGTTTATAAAAAACATTGCCTACCCTACCTTTTAAAGACAACACTGTAGTACACTATTAGCGATGAAAAGGCATAGACAGTTATTTTTGCAGCTCAACTTGTTGCATGTGCATTTGTAGGAGTTTCCCTTTCAGTTTAAATAAATCACGCAGCGTGATTTACAGAGATTTGAGGTAGTCAATTTACTGGTATTTGCACCACTATTAATGTCCCAAAAAGGTCTGTCTTAACCTTTTTTGCACTTCACATGGCAGCAATTGTTGCGAACATTCGATAGGCGCTTTTATGGGTTTGCGGTTTCAAACCAATTAGCCATGTTTAGTAAATCAGGTCATAAATCATCAGTACAAACAAAAGATGCCTGTAGACCTAAAATCAACTATGGAGTTGGAGTTCTTACTCTGGGTAGGGCGTCCTGGCTCAATAGCTCCTGAAGGTTCCTCACGGTGCTCAACACTAGAGTGTTACAGGCAAATGGATCACAGAGGATCATCGACAGGTCACTGTGAGAAACAGAGACAGAGAGTGTTACATTTTTATGGTTTTATGGCTTTATTGTATGCTGTATCTGAATGAATATTTGAATCTCGTACCCTAACACTTGTTCCTGCCCTTTCTTCACACCATCCAGGAAGCCTTGCAACTCACGAGCCCGTTTAGCATCCACAAACTTTTCCCTGATGCAGGCATCCAAACACCAAGAAAACTACAAAAGGATAAGAGCAAACATAAATATAGTGTTTTTGGGTGCAGACGATTTGAAAGAGGTCACCTCGATGGTACATGATCACAAATTGCAATAGTACAAAACAGTTTTTGAATGTTTATAAATATACATATTTTAATCATAAACAATAAAAAGATGCTGATTGCTGGCCTGACTTCCAGAAAGTGTTGAGCTCCTGTAACTGTTTTTGTAACAGATATTTAGGTCATTTTGTTCAACCTTGTGAAATGGAAGGACCCTACAAATGGAGCTCAATAATCATGATGTTGCAGTTGAAAGGGTGTGTTGTAAATGACCTTGTGACAGGGGTCGACTGAACAGATCTCACTGATGTCGAGGTCATGAAGGGACATGAGCAGCTCAGCACGTAGGGTGCAGTAGTGCACGTTTCGTGTGCGCAGGAACAGCGTCCGCAGGAACTGTAGTACCATATCGTAGAGCTTCACGTTCTTCCCAATCATCTGAGTCAGCTTCAGCACCACCTAATGAAAAATCACAGTTTCATTGTTGACATAATGATGCAACAAGAGGACAGTTTTTGTTTGTTGTTCCACTGCAAACGTAATCACCAAAACCCAAGTTTGCAACAAAAATAATCTAAATATATATAAATAAAGATAAAATAATATAAAGAAAAAATTAATAAATAAGCATCTTAAAATAACATTGACACAACATTATATTACCATCAAATGAACACTAAATTACCATAATACTAAAGTATGTTACAATTATCAGAACACAAGATTAATGACAACATTATATAAACATTAAAGTAACACTATTTTATAACTTATATTCACATTCAAAATTACCCTTAAAATGTCTTAAATGTTTTATTTTTATTTTTTTGAAAGCATAGTATTGTCATGTTTTAATGTTTTAGAATTTCAGGGGGGGGAACATTACATTAATGCTAACACCATTTTTCAAATTAAACAAGATTCATTCTCCAAATGGTCAAAGTTCATTCTAAAATTTTAATAAAATAAGAGAAAAAAAACATCTGGCACTTACCTCACCCTGTCGCCGTGTTTTGGGCGAAGGACTGAAAAAGTTGTGAAGGATGGAGAGGTCGTTGCTAAAAAGAGCCGTCTCCTTCTCCACAATATACTGTTTCAAGAGCGGAGACACCTCGTCCCCGAAAAGAGCCTGATTGTCCTGCCAAATTTGCCGTTTCACCTCCACAGAACAGACTTTGTACAGCTCTTTATCGGCCATAACCTGCTTCAGCTTCTTCTCAGGCACCTGCATGAGCATTCAAACAGAAACTTGATTGTCAAAGATTGTCAAATTTAAAATTGTTCTAAAATTATCGACTTTACACAAACGATTGAAAAAATAAAACCCTGATTCCACACCTAAGGCTGAAAAGATCTTCAAAAATAAGCTTTGAAATGAGTCTGTATATTGAGATATCTTGACATGTATCTGTCACTTGATTACCAGAGAGTAATAAGTCAGAGCACAGAACACATTTATACCTTTAGCAGATGTTTGAGCACTTGCATGACAACGGGCTGTATGGACGGCATCTTCACCAATGGGAAGCTTTTCTCAAGAAGTTCTTCCAGCTTTACGTATCTGTGTGAATTTAGGGGATGCATTAGTACGATTTAAGATCCGCTGAGCAAAGGAATGGATTGAAATCAAAACTTTCCATTCACCTGTCCTCCTCCTTGCCCTCGGCAATGGTGGCAACGCGCTCCATCAGCTTATCTCGAAGCTCATCAAACACTGACTGATGAAACTCCAGCCGCGGAGTCCCGTGAAGATCCAAGAAAGGCAATGCAGACTGTAGGGTTGGCAACAATATGCCATTTTCCGCCTGTAAATGACAATACAGTTATAATAAAACATAATTTTCTATTAATAAGTATAATAGGCAATACTTAAAATAATATATTTAAGTGCAAAATGAAGATGTTTTTGGACTTGTTGAACGTTAGAGTGACTTTTTTTAACCCACTTAAGAAGGACTTGAGTGTAATTATAAGTTCATATTTACCTTTATTGTCTTTGAAATATGGTTAAAATGTACTGCCAAATGCACTGACAAAGTGACAACCTACGTATTGTCATGTATTTATATTTGTAATTGCACATTTGTAATGATGAATTAGTACATTAAAATATATTAACTTAAAATGTAATATTAAATAACATACTAAGTTAAAATTGTAATCAGTTTAAATGTGCTTTAGTATGTTAGTCAACACATCAAAAAAGGGTACTACTTTAAAACAGAACAAAAACTTTAAAACATAATGATTTAGAATGTACTTTAAAGTAAAACGAGTAATGTGACATTATTAGAAAGCGCCAGCACACGTTTTAAAGGTGTACTCAAGTGTGTTAGAAACAGTCATTAAAGTGTGCTCTTTTTAGATACACTTAAGTGGCTTTATATTTTATTAATATTATATTATCTGCACATTTTTAATGTACTTTTAAGATTTAAAGTCCACTACAAGTGCGCATTCAATTTTAATTAAGCGCCCTTCTTTTTCACAAGGGTGTTCACTAGGTTGTGGTACTTATTCCATATTGGATTACTTACTAGTGATTAAAAGTAGTACTAGTACAACTAACGTTAGATAACTGTTAAATCGGCTTGTCACAGCCTGTCTGTCATATGACAATTCAAACTGAAAGCGACGCCAGAAACTAGATCCCTCCCATTATAATCAATGAAGATGACTGTTGCATGCGAGCGAAGTGCTTATGTATAATGCAATAGATTTGAACACTGTGAATATTTTAGAGACACAGAACCTGACCTGAAACTGGTCGATGGCTTTCAGAGGTTCTGTACAGTTAGTGAGAGTTTCTTTCAGATCTTCTCCATTGGATATTCCCAGCTCAGGTAACCCTGCGAACATTTTGAGACGCTCTCTCTATTTTAACTCTCCACTATGAAAAAATAAAGAAATTCATTGACAACAGAAATACGACTAATTTTGGCTAGATTTGCATTGTTCGTTGTTTTCTGTATTCGCCCACTTCCTAACTGTGCAACGTCATCAGTTGCAACGTCAATAGACTCTTTCCTGATACATCGTAAAAGGTTCCGCCTTAGAAAGGTTCCTAGCTGGGCTTTAGGTGTCACATTTCTCCAATATTGCCCTTACTAAAAAAACGTTATCATTGAAACCCCGTGAAAGCCTCTGTGATTTCAAAATTTTCTTCGTGAAAAAAGGTCAACATTTAACCTTTGCTATGATAGAATTTTAATGAACAAATGAAAAGTGCAATGCGATTGGTAAACATGATTAAGCCTACTGACAGTTTAAAAATTCTGATTTTTGTATAAAATAAAATAATAAATAAAAATTCATACAACCTTTCATAATCTTTGGACGCTCCTCTGTTCAGCTAATTGAGGATCAGAAACTAACATGTTTACTGTACACAAGTGCATGGCTATAAAAAAATAAAAATAAATTCACATTTCCACACTCCCAAAAGTCATTAATAAGTTAAGCAAAGCATGTTAAAGACCAGCAACTTCTTTATCCAACTGGCCCCAGATTTCTGGAATTAGTGTGTTGTTTTCTTTTCTTTTCTTTTCTTTTCTTTTCTTTTTTTTACCAGTCTTTACAAATAACACATATTAGGTAGGACTAAATGTGTTAAAGTCACCTTGAAATCTAAATTGACAATTCTTGGTGTTTCTATGGAATATTGATTAGAATATGAAATTCATTTTTCATTTTAAATTCCTAAATTTGACCAATAAATTCAATTATTTAGAATACTAAGACACTATAGGCCTATTACCCTAGGTAGGGCTGATCAAATTAAATCAGTTACACTGAAAAATTACAATTGCATTGCTTTACATAATGTTATGAGATCGTTTTAAATATAATATCGCCTAGAAATAAGAAAGTTGGAAAGAATGATACACTTTTAAATATAACACTAAACCGCCAGTAGGTGGCGGCAGGCGACCGTCTTAATGAACGAGTCATTGATTCATTCATTCAAACGATTCGTTCAAACGACTGATTCATTCATGAATGAGATATGTTTATGATAGGTCATTTAATCTTTGACTCAACCGATTCGTTCAAAATGCTGAATGATTCAGTAATGAAACCCTGAGTTGGCATTCTCTGGATGCGCTATGGTTCTGCTGTGATCTTTGTTTGTTTGGAACTATTTTCGCGGCTGAAACAGAACAAAAACAGTCAATATTGCATCTAAAATGTAAGTGACTTAAATTAATTATAACTGTTTATTGAACTGTTGTATGAAATCAATGTCACATTTTCAATCGTGATTGTATTCAGGAAAACAGCACTCGTGATTAGGGTTGCCAACTTCCGAAAAGAAAAATGCACATACAGTAGGCTATGTTCGGTCTCGCATGTGCAGCTCTAGATTCTAGGAGATATGAACTAGTTTACGTGTCGTGTTGCTGTTGTATCAGTCAGATCAGCGTAGCACTCAATAATCGGGACAAGAGATCGGAACAAATAAATTAGGCCCAAAAATCGGGACGTCCCGGCTAATTCGGGACAGTTGGCAACCCTACTCGTGATGTTGCTCACGAAGAGAATTGGCACTGTCTGGTTACTTCCGGTTTCTGGACTGGCTGCAGTAACACGTCTCTGTCCATGCGGGGGCGCTCGCAGGCGAGTGCAGAATGGATGGGAGTCTATGGGGTTTCACCCCCAGAAATCCACTTTTCTCAGGATGTAATTTTTTGTCAAGTAATTTGAAAGTTGCATTCAAAAGGGAGGGCTAAGATAATACACTCAGCTGAAAATTGCATTTTTAAGTTCACTTATCTGTTCTAAAAATCCGTTAAAAAATGTATGACGTCACATAATAGCAGAATGCTAGCGTGTTCCGGCCAACAATGGCCTAACCTGTAAGAAATCGAAAGGACATAAGTACTCGTTCATTCGACTTTTGGCTTATAATCTATATTGAACTTGCGGAATCAACAATAAAATCTATGTTGATTCAACGACAAGCAGGAGGAAGAGATACATTTAGCCGTTAAGCTCCATAGACTCCCATTCATTCTGCACTCGCCTGCGATCACCTCCAGTGGAATTCTAATGGAACTGCAACCAATATGATACACAATGGGGCTAATAGTAAGTGTCAAGGCTCTCCGTTAGACGGGCTCTGATCATATGTTAAACATATAAAAACTCCACATTTTGAATTTTTATAAGCAGTATTGTTTGACTGAGTTTATTTTGTGTGAGCTGCGCTCATTTGTTTAATTTCTCCAGTAATATTAGGGGTAGGCCTAAAATCTCTGGGTTGCGCGAGTGTCAACAGCACAACATTGTTAATGTTACCGTCAGTAATTTATTATCCACTATCGATCAGAACTTACAATAAATGTAATAAAATCAGAATTCTCTCGTTTTAGTGATTCCCTAGTTATTATTTTTTGTTATTGACGTTCTAATCAGGCTACTTGTCCGGTTGGCGGTTGGGCAAGTAACGTTAAGCCGCGTTTCCACCGCAGGAACTTTACCCAGGAACTAGGAACTTTGGCCTGGTACTCGGTGTGTTTACACCGCAGGAACCAGGGTCTAAATGAAGTTCCGGGTAGATATTTCCCCCTCCGAAAGTCCCTGCTCGCGAGGTAGTACTTTTTCAAAGTTCAGGAACTTTCGCGGGTGGGGCTTGTGCGCTGAACATGCTGATTGGTTGTGTTCACGCCGCATTATGATTGGATAACTCCGCGCAGCATTTTATTTTAACCGGAATTTTTAGAATCTATTGCAGTTCGTGGCTTCATGCAGTAATGAAGTTCCATGCAGTAAGAGTTGTCTGTCTGCAAATATGGAATTTAATAAAAATAAAAAAGGCAGCTGGACCGACGACGAGATTCAGGCTTTATTAAGCGTATTTGCGGAAGAGAAATTTTCTGCGCGTTCGTCCCAGCCTTCTCACGGTCAATGTCCGCAATAGCTGATAACATACGCTGTCTAATTTTAGATCTAACGTTAGCATTACGAGCTTTCTGAACACGCTTTAGTATCAGTGCTCGTCTCTTTTCTGCCGTTTTGTTAATTACCTGGTTAGTAAACCAATACATCTCAAACAACTGCAGCACAGTGTGAATCTCTTCCATATTTATTATAAATGTGGCGCTCAAAACTGATTACTGTCTTTTACAGTCTACTGTCCGTCACAAGCAAGCAATGAGCAGTCGCGCGCAGTTTACCCGGTACTTTAGACCGCGATGTAAACGCAGAAAGCTACCGGTCTGGGGCAAAAAAAGTTCCTGGGAAAAAAGTTCCTGGGACAAATTGTTCCGGGCAATTGCGGTGGAAACGCGGCTTTAGACTCACTGTATTCCGGACATCACGGTATTAAGGACACTTGACCTTTTCTCGCAAATTCTATAAATAAACACTTTCAGGTCACGGCATATATATATATATATATATATATATATATATATATATATATATATATATATATATATATATATATATATATATATATATATATATCCGTATATATATCCGTGTCATCTTTGCCTCTTCCTCTTTCGATTCCGACCAACCCTATGTTTACAGAGCCAGTCGTTTCAAAGAAGTCAATAGTTTCTAACGTACACCAATGACTGTTCAGAAAATGGCAGGGGGAAGATTTTCCGGCAGGACAAAAGGAAGAGGGGAGAATAAGTTACCTCCAAAGAAAACGGCACTTAAAACATGATCACCCACCAGAAAATGACCAAAAAAAAATTATTATGGTATTATAAAATAATTATGAGTTGCAATTTGCAAATATTTGTACTTTTTTAAGGGATTTAAAAAAATTAAATATTTAAAATTCTTAAATATAACCTTAACGTTAGAATAAATGCTCACATGAGAGTCCTCACGGTAATCCGGACACTGTGTCTCCCGGCAGTTTTTTCAAGATTTCTCCAAAATGATTTGTCCAAAATGTGTCAATCAAACTTTGGAACGTGTGGAAGGCATGTCCCCAGAGCCAGAGCCAATCAGGTTTATCTTTCCGCGGATTGATATCTTACGGGACGTTTTACTGTGCAAAGTGTCCGGAATACTTGTCCCTTCAAAAAATCCACTTGTCCCGGACAAACGCTGTCGAGCCCTTCTTTTTTTTTATTAATGTGCTCTCATAGGCCTAATCTTTAATCAAAAGAACCTTCCTCTCATCTCTGATGACGTGTTTACTGGCGCGAGGGCGGGACAACTCACTGACATTGAATATTTTCATCTGTTTCTTGAATTGAAGGAGTTACACCGCACTTACGATCATCAAGGTGCCAGACACACAAGACTAAAGATCTCAAAAAATAAACTGTCCGCACACTTAAATCCTTTAAGCAAATTTAATCCAAGCTTTCGGTCAAAAGACCATCCTCAGGGCATACAGACAATAAATGTAACAATCAATGTAACTGTGTTCAAACGCATCAGGACAATCAACAGTGATTACCAACACTTGTGAAAGCCAGGTAGGAGAGTTTATTTTTTGACATCTGTTTCTTGAATTAAAAAAAAACTCACATGATATCACACAGTGATAGCAAACCATAACCATCCATTCAATTCCAGATGGACAAAAAATAAGTCCTGCTCAAAAAATTTTCTTGTTCAAGAAGCCCTTTCACTCAGATGTCAGGGTGTATCACAACTATCACAACAGTGTTAGACATATTTAATTAATCTCATAATTCAGAGCTTCACATAATCTTCATGAATTTTACTGCAAATCACATTACAAAACAATCGGACTTTTTAAACGGTCAATAGGTCTACAAACATTTACACTAGTGTGCATCCTTACGGCTTATTTCTTAAGGACAGAAAAACTCTTTAGAGCATAATGATCAAGGGTAACAACATAATTTAGTAGCATTTCTTTGGTAGGATCGCATCAGAAAAAATATAGTAGCTATAAGAAGGGCTGAAAAGAGGAAAATAGCAGCACGCCAGGCATCTGGGCGCAGTGCTTTTCTCAGTAACACGTTTTCAGCAGGCAGCAAGTTGCTTAAACTTAGCATGTAGCCAAGGGACCAGCCAA